AGGAGGCAACTTCTCAATCATCGCTTCTACTTGGAATGCTTCATTGATGACAAGACCTTCAATGAAATTTCTGTTAGTAAAAATACTAAGATTACTACTTTCAACATCAGTATTAATTTGATTTATACCTTCAGCAAGGAGATCGTGAATAATCACTTGCAATTCCTGGACTTGGGTAATAACAAACTTGATATCTACCATTTTGTAGTCCAAAAACTTTGCAGCAACGAACTTCTTCAACCCGGCATCTTCGATTTTGTATTTCTTTTCAAGCGTAGTCCACAGTTCTTTTGACGTTTCCACGCCACTGTAGATGTTATACAAAGCATCCTCCAGCCCGCTTAGAATATAATTCTTGCACAAAAAATCTGAATGCTTCCATGCCTCAATCACGAGAAAGCGTTCAGTTTCTAGAGTTTCATCGAACAACACATGAACATCTTCCTTGATGAACATCTGGAGACTTAGAGTAGTCAAGTAGAAGAACTTCTTTTGCTGCCAGCGCTTGAAATCAATCCCGGAAAATTTTTCGGGTTTCTCCGCCGGTGCCAATGCTGCCGGTGTTGTTCGGCTCGTTGAGGCAGTGGAAGTCACCATTGGAACAACTTGGTTCACATTATCATTAGTCATTTCTGTAAAAGAATGACACAAACGTTAAAATCACGTAGATTTTAATCTCCAATAGAGTACAAAACCACAAAGGTTTTACTCTCCAAAAATAGTGAGTACAAATACATAAAATATATTAAATTCATTAAGCTTGTTAGTAATCTATATTTGTAAAACAATTCTAGAAAATATAAATGAACATAAACAGAAATGTAAACGAAATAATAAAAACCAATTCGAGCCTACTGAATTCATAGTATTTCCTTAAGGAATTTAATCCCCTCCTAGTACCCAAGGTTATGGATTATTTTCTCCCAGGATAGAACGAATTACACACTGGTGTAGTGGTACTTCAAACCCTAGTGTTTCAGCGAACACAAAGTTCGGTAGCAAATCACACTTACTGTTGATTTCTTTGAAGTTAAAATATGCTGAAGAAAGGAGAAGAACTCAGAAAATTCTTATGGAAATTCTGAGCAGAATAGTCTTGTATTTATAGCCAACGTTGGGCTGAAATCTAAAGAGGTGCAACTCTTCAGAATGGTTGTTTATGCAAAACGGCCACAACATAAATGTCATTACATAAATGGCTATTTACTTAACAATAAAGAGGGAAAATAAAGAGGAAAAAATTGAAGAGGAAGTTTAATTTTCAGTTACACAACTGAAAAATGGATTGGAGGATTTAATATTAATATTTATTTTAATATTAATATTCTGTTATTAAAATAAATATTTAATAACATTTCTGTTAATATTTTACTATTAACAAATAAATTTGGTCCAAAAAATTAATCAATCAATCCATTATTTGACCAAATCTGAAGCCGAAGCCGAAGCCGAGCCGAGCGAGCGACGATGACGACGGCGCGAGGCTTGCCTTCTTCTCAACTCTCTAAGATCTAGAAGAAGAGTAATTGCTTATATACCCATAAAAAACTTCTTCCTCTTCCAATATGGGACAATGTTCCTTCATCAAGGAGGGAATCTCAAATGAAACTCAATATTTCATTTTTCCTCCATTTCCCATTCACCCTCTTTTAAGTACTAATATACTTAAAATCCCAACAATCCCCCACATGAATGGGGAATGGCTATATCACGAAAATATGCATGAAAAACTGTGTGATTCGCAAACAAGGATTAATTGCAACTTTTCGTAGTGAACTTATGTCGGAGATACTCGGTCAATCGGTAGATTTGATATTTTTGAACCGTCAAACTTTGGTGCATATCTAGACAACCATAAGTCACACAACCAACCCTTACCCGTCTTTACTTCTCATTGTTGTGTTCGTTTCAGCTATGAACATCGCCTGGTTTCATAAGTGCTTAGAGAACTGGCCTTACAAAGTTCTCCTTGAAGCGGCTAACACTTCACACTTACATAGGTGATTCCTAAACGTGTCATCCCGTAGATACACTATTTGATACACCCCGTATCAAATTTAGAAATCATTAAAAAGCCTTAATGCTTTATCCTTGGTACTGAACATTGTCTCACCACGAGAATGGACCAAAAGTTTAGTTGACAATGTTGAACCGTCATTAATGACTTTGTTTGATCTCCTTGAACCTAGATCTTGGGATCTCCAGTCTTCTAGGTAGAGTTACCGCCACTATGACTTGTTCTCGGCCACAGTCCCATTCCCCTTGATGATTTTTCAACTACCTCTTTAGTTAGGCCTTTTTGTAAGTGGATCCGACACATTATCACTTGACTTTACATAATCAATCATGATAATTACTCTAGAGAGTAATTGCCTAACGGTTTTATGTCTTCGTCGTATATGACGAGATTTACCGTTATACATAACGCTCCCAGCCCTTCCAATTGCCACTTAACTATCGTAATGTATGCATATTGGTGCCAATGGTTTGGGCCAAAATGGAATATCTTCCAAGAAATTCCGGAGTCATTCAACTTCTTCACCGGCTTTATCTAAGGCTATGAATTCAGCCTCATTGTAGAGCGGACAATACAAGTTTGTTTGGACGACTTCCAAAATACCGCTCCTCCACCAATAGTGAATACATATCCACTTGTGGACTTGGAATCAATTGATCCGAAGCCGAGCCGAGCGAGCGACAACAGCGACGACGCGAGGCTTGCCTTCTTCTCAACTCTTTAAGAGCTAGAAGAAGAGCAATTGCTTATATACCCATAAAAAACCTCTTCTTCTTCTAATATGGGACAATGTTCCTTCATCAAGGAGGGAATTTCAAATGAAACTCAAATATTTCATTTTCCCTCTATTTCCCATTCACCCTCTTTTAATTATTAATATACTTAAAATCCCAACAGCATTAGTGTTAATATGATATCTTTTATCCATAGATGGCTATCACTACCTAGAGTTTGACTGCATTATTGGATTCTATCTTATTTCATCTTGCTGTTATTCCTACTTGTTGAAATTACCTTTTTCTTTTCAATCATTCTCTAGCCGAGGGTCTATCGGAAATGTCTATCTACCGTTCCAGGGGTAGAGGTAAGACTGCGTCCATCTTATCCTCCCCAGACCCCACTGAATTTATTGTTGTTGTATCTCTACCAGAATTAGAACCCCAATCTACCATGAATTTTTATTCCCCACTTCATTAACTATTAAACAACCCTTGGATAAGAACTAGTACTTGGTAAACCGACACAAGGATTTAAATATTCAGCATTGGAATAAAGTTTCCTCAACAACAAAGATCGCATTCATTGATCTTCCTTTAAAATAAAAGTATATTGGTTTTGCGAAGCTACCTGTCTGCACAGAAGCTATGCCATCTTCATCTTGGTTAGTCCAGAATTAAATTTCTATACATCCAAAATAATCTTTACTTAGCCAAATCAAAATTCCCATTCGACTGGAAAAAAGCTAATGTGAAGATGAGATAATACATTCTTTTTAAAGACTACAGTAAGGTCAACTTACGTGTACGTCGGTTATTTATTTTTCTTTTTATATATTATACTATTTTTCACTAACACATTACACAAGTACTAAGTACCAAGTAACTTTATCTATCAAAATTTAAGTGAATGAAAAGAAATTATCTATATTTTTATCTCCACGGAAAATTGAACATTGATTTACAATGATTGTCAGTCATTTTATCCACTATTAGATCACACCGGGCGAGATGATTCCTTATCTTGTAGTAACTTGAGCCAAATATTGGGAAAGAAATCAATTTGGAAGAGACCCTTAATTTGTCCTTTATAATAAATAAATCGACAACAAAATCCAGCAATCTATCCTTAGTAAGAATGTACAAACTACAAAGTCTTAGCCCATGTTAAAATCATACTATATAGTAGCACCAATAAAAGGACCAGCCACATAGCAAATTGACCAAGTCAAGTCTTTTGTCATGATTTAGCTTAATTTTCATCATTGGCTGCTGATACTAACTTGTAAAAAGCTCTAAATTTCTTCTGTCATACTTGCTTGACACATTTAAAAATATAAATATGAACAAATTTGGAAAAAATAAAGTCAATTTCTTTTTAATTATATAAAAAACATTTATTTTAATTAAAATAAAAAGATCAAAAAATCACTTATGTATCTGATAGAGTAAACGTTGCCACATTGCAGATAGCCAGATATACGTTATGATCCGCAAAATAATTGAGTCCATTGACAAAATTCATTGTTCTCATCACCTTTTATTTGACAGCAACTACACCATCATCAAACATACGTACCCTTTTATTTTTCTGTAAAGCTTCACATCATTGCAATTAGCAGCATGGGGAACAAAGAACTACTCATGCTTCTCTTTATTGACCTGACTTTAACTTCGCCACTTTTTACACCATCAGAACTGTCCGTAGCAAAATAAAATTAACTATCTAAACATTAAGATAAATAAATAACCTGCTATAACAAATTGAATTATACTAGTAATAGACTATCAGTATATATAATTTAAATTCTTTTGAAAGATACAACAACAATAACAACAGTGTAATCACATAAATGAGGTTTGGAGAGGGCAGTGTATATGCAGACCTTTCCCCTACCAAAAGATAAAAAGGCTGTTTTCGATAACCCTCGACTAAAGGTTGTTTCCGATAACCCTCGGCTCAGAAAACAGTGGAGATAAGATAAACCAGCCAAATAGCAAATAATGGTAACAATGTAATATGGCAGCGAGCGCGAATAACACAACATGTAATAATAAAAAACCATGATAAGATAATTCAAAAATAATCCTAGTACTACTGGTAAGCCTAAGAGGAACACACTAATGGTCAACCTACAACCCTAATCCTCAATCTCCATACCTTGCTATGGTCATATCCTCACAAGCTAAAACAACGTCGTAGAAAAGCAACGACATAAAAAGATAAGAAAAGTGAAAAAAGACATGAGCTTTAACAACTAAGAACATTCATAACTATTCACTTCTAATAGCATCAATTACACACATATATATACTCAGTAATGGTAAAGGGATATCATTATTCTTACCCCATAATATAATTTTTACAATCCGATTTACAAAATTTTCAAGGGATAATCAACTAAGTACTAGTATATATATATATATATATATATATATTTCGTATACAAAAGAAGGGAAAAAAAAAGAGAGCTTAAAACTATAGGAAAAGGCAGACCTCAACTATCCTTGTCTTTGACAGAGTCCAAAGTTTCGGATCCTTTAGTAACATCAATTTTCCTCTTCTCCAAATGCAACTTCACATAGAAATTAAGGAACAAGAAGAGAATCGCACCATTTAGTACAGAGTTTAAAACCCACGCGCCAATTCCGTTACACCCACCTTTAAGGAAATGCAACAAAAGAACCCCAACATGACAAACAACGTTGCAACCCAACAACAAAACCTGACAGTGATTCACAAAGTGGAAACATTTGCTAGGTAAACCTACGGCAGTCCAAAATCTGTACCCGTAAACCACGGAGTAAATCGAAGTTGTTAAAATTATGGCTAAAACTTGAAATGATTGTGAGAATTCTAGCCATAAAAATGACATGAAGATGAGGATTGAGTGGTTGAATAGTTGAAAAAAGGAGAGTTTACGACGTCGAATAATAGTGAAGAAAGTGCGGAACGTGTGGAGGAAACGAGAGAGGTAAAAAATGTAGGACCAGAAAAAGACCCGACCCGAAGGACGGGTACCGAGTGGGAAACAGAGGAGCCATTGAAACGGAGTCGTTTTGTAACGCCGCCAGAACCAACGGGTGTCACGGATTTCTGCGGCGGCGGAGAGGAGGATTCCGGCGAAGATGGTGAATGAGATTAAGGCCATGGAGAGGGAGTGGACGGCGGGGATTGGGCCGAGAGGGAGCGGACGTCGGTGGCGGAAGAGGAGGAGGAGGATGAGGTGGAGGAAAACGGAGAAGATGACGTATGCAGCTATGGAGGTGAAGAGAAATACCCACGTGTTGCCCCATGATTGGCTATGCTTCCAACGGAATCCGACGATTAATGGGTGTTCAGATAGGTAATAACCTAGGGTTTGAATCATCGTTGTTTTGTTTCAGGCAGAGAGAAAATTGAGAATCTGTTGTTGATCAAAATTCCAAACAAGGAGATCTTTTACAACAAAAAATGTTTTTCTCTGCCGGAAACGTGCCGGTGCCGGAGCTTGAGCCGGCGAACTTCAGTATGGGGTCAAAATTGGGAGGGAGGTGAATGACACCACTGGTTTCTTCACCTCTGATCCTTATTTATATGAACCAGGATATACATATATTGTATTGTGTATAGTACCTTCGATCCTAAAGGGACAAAAAATAGGAATGAAGAGGAGGAAGATTTTTTTTTTTCTATAGAAAAGTTTTAATATCTTTTCTTTTTTTAATTCGGGATGAGGAAAATGGAAACAATATGTATTTAGTGGCTGGTGTGATCATAAATAATATTTCGTTATTTACTGAACTTTAATATTTGAAATACTTAATTGATTATCAATATTGAGACTTGACCATCAGTATTTAAAATATTTGTGAAGTACAGACAATACTGTTTTAAATATATATTTTGGATTACTAGTATCTATAAACATGCGTTGCACGTTAATAATGACACATGATGGTTAAACATTTACTTATGTGAAAAATAATAAAATTTAATTAATGAGAGAAATTTATATATAATAATGTAACAATAATTTAAATGCCAAAAAATATTGTTACATTAGCATAATACGTGAATTCAAAATGAAAGGATATCATCGGAACTTACATAAATGATCAGTTTTAGTCATGTTAAGCAGATAATTATGTACTGTAATATAAATGTATCTAATGTGATGGTATCTTACCGAACACTTCTTTATAGACAATATTTTTTTTATATGTTTCCTTCTAAAACCAGATCATTTGTTGTCGATGTTGATACCTCTCTTGAAAAATGCAACATATAATTATTCGTGTAAGAAAACATATTATCATAAATATAGTTCAATATTTAAGATGTTTGTCCTTGTGCTTTATTTATTATAACTGCAAAACATAAACATACTGAAAATTATTTTCACACAAATTCAAAAGGATATTCTTTAGTTTCGGAAGATGAACGTTGATTTCGGGGAGAAACACATACTTAGACGCACATTGACCAATATCATAAGTTGCATGTATGACGTTATTGTCAAGACTTCTATATACCATATGTGTATTATTACATAAGTTATTTAGCGAATCTAAGTTTTCAGTAGCATGATAGCATAAACCTATATTAAATGGAAGATCAATTTTAACTTAGTCTATTATGTGGGAGAAATTCAAAAATAGCCAGATTGACAATTGGTCGTTCAAAAATAGTCCAGTTTCAAAAGTAATCAAAATTTAGCCACTTTTATGTAAAGATAAATCTGAGTGAAAACACTGTTTAAAACCCGAAAAATACGCCAGTATATTATGCTGGAGTTCCAGCATAAGTATACTTGAACTCCAACATATTATACAGGAGTTCCAGGATAAGTATGCTGGAACTCCCGCATAATATGATAGAGTTCCAGCATAAGTACACTAGAACTCCAGCATAATATACTGGAGTTCCAGCAAGTATACCGGTCCAGCATAATATGTTGGAGTTCATACACAGGTGCACCGAACTCCAGTATATTATGCTGGACCGGTCTCTGTTGCAGCAAAATAGTGGCTATTTTTTATTGACTTGGTAAACGCTAACTATTTTTGAATGACCAGTCCGAAAACTGGCTATACCGTGCTATTTTTACCTATTATATATATAGTGACACTAACATACGTAAGAAATAATGAACTTGACTACAAATATGTACAATAGAAGGCCAATTGGTATTAAAGTATTTAAGTATTCTTCTTGGTAGTTATTGTTGGTATCATCTTCTGTTGAGTCAAAACTAAAAAAATAATTTGTTTTTACCATAAAGCTTAGCAATCAACGTTTTATTTAGTTGATCAACATATTACTTTCTGCTAGCTAAGATAGCTATTTAATTTCTATTATGTAATTTGCATAAATTGCGTTTTAATCTAATGATGAAGATTATTTTCTTTATTAAATGCACTACTATTACCATTGGGGTTGATAACCAAGTGTTCTAGAAGAATCAAATCATCTTTTATTGGATGCTCTTCTTTGTTTCTGACGCGAGCCAAGAAGTCATTGAATGTTGGATCGGTTCTTACTTTTATATTTCTTGTCATTTGAATATTTTTCATTTGAGATCATAAGTATAATTTTGGCAAGCTAGCTTGTACAGTTTCTGCTTTGGTCAATTTTGGAACAACTGATCGCACTTGACAAAAATCACCTCCCAAACTATTCTACCAAACGGTTCATCGATATCCAATATATCGCTAAAACTATGGGCAATTGATTCGATCGTCTGACGCTTAGCCAAAAGCATTTCATCCCATATTATCACTTTTGCTTTCCTTATAAAAATAGTACTATAGATCTGATTTGATATATTTGTGATGGTTATTTCAGTTATTTGAAGGAGTATCTAAAGTGAGTTGTATGACCTCATAATAAAATCGTTGCCGGTACACTACTTGTTCTTATTGCTAACAATATCATGCCTCCGGATCTAACATTTTCAAGTAATGCATGACATAGCAATATCATTTCGATTTTGCGCGGAGGCATCTGAAAAGGATAATCTCGCTATACCAGGATCGATTTTTTATTATATAGTCTTGAAAGCTTATTCTTGTTCAGGATTTAGCTTTGATTGTGCTTCCTCAAACACTTGTATGACCTTCTTAATATTATATTTTTTTCAAGTTGAAAAATAATTTTACTCATACGATTAATTTAAAAAATAATTTAATTGGATTCTCTTCCTAAATAATTAATTGAAAGATTTAATTATTTGGTTTTAACATAAAATACAATTTATTTTCTGTTGAATTAGATTCTTAATATTAGTTCATCTCATATTTGAATATTTAACCATGATTATAATTTTATCCACCATAGATTTTATTTTCAAAGAGTAAAAAGATAGATGACATTCCGCTTTTAGATCTTTATGTTTGCAAAATCATTAGTGGTGTTGCCTCTTACCAATATTTTTCTTTATTTTCTCACACATTTATATTCCTAAAAATTTTCTTAGTAGTTCTTTAATAATTGGGTATAATTTTCTATATTACACGAAAAAGTAATAATAATTTTTTATTTGAATAAGAAAGCACTTCAAATTTAATATAGTAATATATTATCTTGGGGATATTTTTTCTCAATTTCAATGCTTTATGCGATCTGTTTAGCATTACTTTTATTTTTTTGGAATTTAATATTATAAAGTGGTAATGTATTACCAATATGGAGAATTCTTATGAAATTGATTTATTAAACCTCCCTACATATTTTTAATAAGAATTCAATAGACACGATTATATTGATTTTAAAATCTAAACATTAAAAAGATTATATAGAAGTTATTGTAGTCCAAAAAAATAAGTTATTACAACTATGTCCTTTCCCTATGAGTTCTTCTATTTAATATTTTAGGGCTATTTTGGTCTATTAATATTATATTTGTATTTTTATAATAGTATAGGCTCTCCTATTTCTAAATGAATTAAATAATATAATATATTTTCAAATTAAATTAGTAATAGGAATTTTTTAAGAAGTATATCCTAAAAGTAATAGTATTACAAGACTAATATCTATGTCCGAAAATAATTATACTAATAGAATTCCTAAAGGTAATCCTGTAGGATTATGTGTAGTATTGTGTTCTAAAACTAATAGGATTACAAGGCTAATATCTAGAATTCTGATTATGTTCTTTTATTATATTGTGAGTTATTATGTTTAATATTAAAGGGTTATTTATGTAATCTAATATTTTATTTATGCCTTTATAATAATATAGATATGGATATAGATATAGATAGATGGATTTCTATTTTTATTTTTAATTTAACCTTATCAACAATGGTTACTCTCAATCCGCAAGCTTGGGGCCGACATGCTCATGGAAATCCTCCACATTCTTTTCGTTTTATTTAGAAAATCGCGTGTTAAATAAATGCAAATAAAATAAAATAAAATAAAAGTGGAATATAATGATTAAATTCAAGTGCTTAATGTACAACTTGGTATCAATAGTTATATTATGGTTGTATCAGGTTCTATTATTTAAAAGTTGTAACTAAAGAAATATTATTAAATTATTTTTTTATGCGTTTGGTGATCAATGATGGTCGACCTAATTGTTTTTAATTCCATGGATATTAATTAAAATTCATAAGTATATCCTAAAAATAATAGGATTATAAAGCTAATATCTCTATCAGAAAATAATTATACTAATAAGATTTCAAAAGGTAATCAAGAAGAATTCTTAAAGTGTAGTATTATGTCCTAAAACTAATAGAATTACAAAGCTAATGTCTAGAATTCCGATTATGTCATTTTATTGTGAGTTATTATGCTTAATATTAAAAGATTATTTTTGTAATCCAACATTTTATTCATACTTTTATAATAATACTAGCTCCTATGTACGTGCGTCGCACATAATAATAATAATAATAATAATAATAATAATAATAATAATAATAATAATAATAATAATAATAATAAGTAATTTTTATAAGCGAGAGCCAATTCTCTTACCTTTCTTTCTTATTTTCAATTGTGATGTTCGATGAATATCAATTAGCGTTCAAATTCAAATATATATGTTCCTACTAACATATTTGCATTCATACATAAATGATCACGGTTACCTTGTGACACAAAAAAGAAACTATGCATGTGATATAAATATAACTTCTAAATTAGTAGGTGCAATCTGCGTAACCATATACAAAGCGAAAAATTCATCTACGGTGAAAAAAAGTAAAAATTTCTCTACGTATTGTCACGACCCGGATTTCCCACCATCGGGTGTCGTGATGGCGCCTACTATCGGAGCTAGGCAAGCCAAATATATAAAACATTTTTCCTGCTTTCTTCCAAACAATATAATAAACGAGACAAAATTTAAACGGAAGACTTTAAATCTAAAGCAACTGAGAACCAAAAGTGCGGAAGTTTGAACCAAAATGCTACCCAGAGTCTGGTGTCACTAGCTCACGGACTACTACAGAATGCTACAATCAATGTCTGAAAGGAAAATACATCATGTTTGTCTGATACAAGATAAACAAACGAAAAAACACATGGAAAGGGACTTCGGCCTGTGAACGCCAGCTAGGCTACCTCGAGAGTCCCTAGACTGAAGATAGCTCCCAGAAGTCCTACTGCTACGGTCCGTAAGCTGCTCCATGATCTGTGCA